TTATATTTCAGGTGATTTTGTTTTGATAATCAAGTAACTTCCTATTTCAGATTGTTTTATTTGCTACAAAAACAAATCATCTTTGAGTTCAAATGGTTGCGTTCTGTCTGTGTATCAGAAATATATTTAAACGTTGTCTTATAAAATAGATCGTTTGAAAAAATCCTCAACTTATTCGAAAATACTTATGGTGACACAGATTGTGTTCCGTGGATTTTTGGGGTTCCACTAGAACATTTTGTCCAGTGCAGTTGGAGTAAAGGAGTAGGCCAGGTATGGCTTAAAAGCTGTATTCGCTTTGTCATTGGCTATTTCATTTATGGGCGGAAACTAATTGATGACTCGCTGTAAATTAGTCGCCAGTGATGGTCTAGTGCAGTGTTTCAAGGAAACAACAAGTTAGTCCTGAGTTTGTGAACATTTTGGAAGATTACAAAATTACAGTGATTTCAAGTATTGATCCTACTTAGCCAAGTTCTTCTGATATTTTTTTATGATATAACTTTTAACATAAGAATGTTTCTGAAGGGTTCTGTCAATAGTTTTAGAGCTCAAATGTGTTCAGTTGGAAACGCTGCTCTAAGTAAAGAATAGAATGTAGTACCAGTAATATAATATCATAATGATATCAATAATATAATATAATAATAATATCTATAATATAATATAATAATAATATCTATACTATAAAAGAATAATAATATCTATACTATAATATAATAATAATATCTATACTATAATATAATATAAAAAGATAATATAATAATATCAGTAATATAATATAATAATATTAGTAATACAATAACATAATAATATTAATTAATCACTAACAGTGGCAGCGTTCAGTGCTGTTAATTAATCTTAGAATATCAAACAAATCTGCAGTTTTGTAGCCAAAGAAAAGGAAAAGAAAAAGCAAAGCTAATGTAGTCTTTTCTGTTTATACAGTTTGCTCATTATGCATAAAATATGCATGTTTATTCTTCTTCTCCAGAATATTAAAAATTGTGAGTATTCTAGAATAGACCTGCAAAACCTCCTTCAACAGCTTTGTCTATTTTTTGATTCCAGAACCTCGTGAAATGTTAAGTACCACAATCTTTGTCCAGCAATAAAAAATAATTGGTGCAAGTATTAATTTTGTTAGTGGTGAAGAGGAAAGCTCAGTGTTTACACTTTTGTAAAGTTGGTTTATCCAAGAAATGTTAAAATGTTCTTTAAAATGACTTTCAAAGTAATCTATAGTTCGCCATTACTCGTCGCTGAGGGAAGTAAGTTCAAAAAGTAATAAGCACGTTAAGAAAAATAGAAACGCTTGGCTGAGTGCTTTCAACGCTAGCGCCTAGCGACCACGGCCAGCATATTCTTACTATATCTCTCGGAAATTGTACGATGTATACCAATCCTAGCACTAGTGGAATGAAGTAATGAATTCAATTTGCATCTAGATAGCTAAGGTAGATACCTACTACGATTTAGATGTAAATAAATAAATATTTATTCGTGAGAGCATGCCACGTCAGTGGTGAATGAGAAAAACATCGTTTAGTAAAATATAAAAAACACCACCCTCCCATTCAACCAGTCACTTTTTTCCTATATCTCAGCTCAGAACGAGAGTGTCATCTGGTGTCACTGCTGTTTTTTATTCGTTGTCATCCTAAAAAGTGACACAGTTTTCTTTCCCATGTGACGTACTTGATCATGTGTACAGTATTAACAATATCCTGATTTGTATATTAATTACCTGTGTGATTTGAGCCTAGTTAAACAATAATGATTCCAGTGCAAGTGTTTTTAGTTGAAGTAACACACAAAAATCATCCAAAGTTATGCTTTAATGCTGAAACGGAAGGTGATATCCAATAAACACAGCAAAATAAAGCAGCTTGCCATCTCTCGAGTTACATCATGGGCTGTAAAACCGAACTTATATTAAGTTTGGCACCTAATTCTCCTGACAATAATCACACTGAACAAAGAGTGATGTTATGAACTTGGAGCTAAGATGAATGTCAATTCAGATTTGCAGCACACGATTCAAATGATGCAATTTGTTTAATGCCAATTTGACCTATTTTGTTGTGTTCATCATATATCGTTTCAGCTAAAACAAAATTTTGGCTCTTTTTTTTTTTCTTTTCACCCAAACATTTTTCGATGTATAATATAAGTGATATAATATTTAGATGTTCTAAATCGTTTTTTCTTTAATCTTGTCCACTGGTGAGACAACGCCGAGATCCGGGGTTCGATTCCTCGCGGTTAACACAACAGATAAACCAGTGTTAGCAGATCACTCTTTTGATATCTCACGCTCAAAAAGAAGAAACTGGTGTTAGTGCGAAATTCCCTCACGGAAGAACGAAGTTACTTAAATTTCTTTATCTGTCTTCCAAACGATACACTTACAAGTCACGCTTAAGCCTAAAGTAAAATGTTTACTCTTCTTGAATATTGTGCCGCTCGTGGGAAAAGAATATTCATTTCTAGGCAATCATCATAGAACTAAAAAAACCGTGGAAAATTTATAGACGCAGAAAAAGATGAAAAAAAACTTCACAAAATTGACTTAAGAAAGTAAAAATAGTGTGAGTTTGGAAGACATGTAGAAAATTATACAAAACACGCATCTTTTCAATTTAGTTTCAGAAGCTTGGTTAGATCCTTCAAATGATTGATGGCATGACAGGCACTAGTTACACAAGTCACCCTCTAGGTGGAGCTGCGTTCACCTTCGAATAAAGGTTTCTTTGTTGAAATTAGTGCATATCTACTCGAGGGCTATCTTCGCTATCGTTTCTAATCTAGAATTTACAAAATAAAATGAAGGCAGCTAATCAACAGTACCCACCGCCAACTTTTGGGCTACTCTTTTACCAATGAATGGTAGTACTTACCTTCACATTAGATCATTCCCTCCCATGACCGAAAGGGCGAGAATCTTCGATGGTGAGATTCAAACCCGGTTGCGAATCGAACGCCCCCTAACTACTAGGCCTTGCCAAGCCAGATAAATAAAGAAGAATTTGTTTGCTTTTACAATAATTTTGTTGCGTGTGTTTTAACTTTTATTCACTTATTTCTCTTCTGTTTATGGATTAATTTGAACCTAAGATTTCCTCGTCCACTATTGAAACATTATGGTACATAAAGACATAATTTCATTTAAATAGTTCCAATTTAATTTATGTCTTTCACGTGACTTAATTCCTGGTATGCACGTTCTTGTTAGGGTGTATTAAAACTTTTAAAATTTTCTGTTTACCAGAAACAACATGTATAATACTAATATACGATTTACTAACGTCGATTTAACTCACGTTACAGCCAGACTAACTCAAAATATTTACTATGATCCCAGTGTTTTGAGATCGCCCAGTTCTCCTCCGATCGATCTGTAATTTAAGGTTTAATTTCATCCGTTCTCATGATCCACTGTTATGCAGATGAGGTAATTAAATAATTAATTATACTTATTCACTCAAGCATCATCATTGTCTGAAATAATTATTCCTCGTATTGTACATTAATAAAATTTGCTTCACTACGCTTCACGCGGTTAACGATATATTTATCGTATAACCCGCTTATCCAATCTAACGTGTGGACTCCAAGGGATTACATAACTGTTCCGCTTACTACAGCCTTAACGACACATACGGCTCTGAAAACACGTTCGTCCATTTACAGACTATTGTGCCGAATACGAAGGAAATAGAATGAATTCATCTAAAATAGACAGATGGAGTTCTACCAAATAATGTATGGGTCAACTAAGGATTTCTAAAAAGTATTCTGTTTCTCACTGTATCCCTTTATTACCACCACTATAGGTTTAAAGATTTATATATATATCAATATTCTGATGATACAGATTTAACTATAATTCCTGTTGATGTGGAACTTAGCAAATAAATTTTACAAGTTGATTTCAATCAATTTAGGTATTGGTTTAATTAACTCTCCCAACACGAGGTCGGTCAATTTGATCGAGTCACGTGGCCTTTTGTACTCGTTTAATATAAATGAAATATATGTGAATACTGATAAAACAGAAACCGTGATAATTCACTCACAATATACAAATTATTTTACAGATTCATGATCAAAGATGTAGTAATAAACATTTAATTCTAGATAATAAACAGTATTCTGATTGTACATGTACGTATATAGAAAATGTTAATACTAAGGACTTAGGACTAATACTTAGGACTAATTGTCGATAACGTTTGTAGTTAGTCTAAACATATAAGTATGATTTGCAATAAATTAAGACTTATTACAGAAACATTATGGGGGGATACAGAATATTTAACCAATTAATATAAAGAAATAATTTATGAATCTTTAGCATAATCTATTATGCGTTATGAATAGATAATATATGTTTCAACAAGTAACGTTTAACTAAAAAATAAATATAATTCAAAAAAGAATGTTTAAGATGATAAAAATGGCGAACTTAACGTAAATGTTAAATAAGCAAATGAACTAATAATAAATCAGTTATTTTGATATAAATGAAATTTATAACAATTTTGAATTCCTGTTACATATTAAATGATAAGGTACTAAAATAATAATATGTATAATACTCGAACATTAGAAAATAAGTATTACGAAACTCCAAATTACAATAATAACTGTGGAACTAGAGTAAAAATAGTAGATAATACCAATATAACTCACCAGGGAGTTATGGAACATAAACATGAGTTAAGAAAATTAAAAGATTGGTTATTAACTGAATAATATCCATTCATTGATTCTTTATTCATGCAGGATTAATATTATCATTAATTTAAGTATGTATGTAATTATTTGTTTGAGATAAAGATGCAATAGTTGTTAAATAATGATTAAAATAGGCTTATTTATATCTATTATTATTATACAAAGAGATTTATGGTTATTATGGAATGTTCCAGAAATAAGCTGATTAAACTTCGTGACAAAAGAGGTCTATAAAAATAATAGTAAAAATGGTAATATAGATGGTTGTGGTATTAAAGATGGTTGTGGTAATATAGATGGTAATGGTAATATAGATGGTTGTGGTATTAAAGATGGTTGTGGTAATATAGATGGTTGTGGTAATAAAGATGGTAATGTTAATATAGATGGTAATGGTAATATAGATGGTTGTGGTAATATAGATGGTAATGGTAATATAGATGGTTGTGGTAGTAAAGATGGTAATGGTAATATAGATGGTTGTGGTAATATAGATGGTAATGGTAATATAGATGGTAATGGTAATATAGATGGTTGTGGTAATATAGATAGTTGTGGTAGTAAAGATGGTAATGTTAATATAGATGGTAATGTTAATATAGATGTTGATGGTATAAAAATGGTTCTGGTAATAATTGGGTGGTAATATAATAATAATAAAGATGGTAATGGTAATATAGATGGTTGTGGTGATAAAGATGGTAAATTATCTATATTACCATCAGACAAATCCTTGTTTGGTGAAATGGTTTCTAAATAAAACATTTCAGTTTGGTTGAATTACGGAAGCAGTCCGGGGTTCGAGTGGTCTTTAGACGTACATAATTTTGTCCTTACTTCAACATACAATCAGCATAATCCAGCCCTTCATGAATACAATGGTACAATCCCTTTCTGAGAGAAGGAATGCGTTTTACAGAAGAGCGCTTGGCTGGAATTAACACTGTTCCAAGGTTAGCATGAACGAAGAAAAGCTATTTGGATAACGACAACGTTTGTAATAGTAATGTATAATGTACAATAGTATAAGCTAGTATATATATGTACATACGGTTAGCTATATAATCCGAATACCATGCAACCGAAGTAGAAACCATTTAGAGAACGGCATCATTAGAAAAACTGTTTTACGTTTCATATTAAATGTCTATAAAAATATTTGTATACTAGATACCATTCTTCCTTTCTCTTCCTACCAGAAAAAGGAAACAGAAACCTATTTTACTAAGAGCATAATGTAACGGATACCTGTTAGTATTATTATACTCCAATGATACACAAGCATCTAAAACATAAAAAAAAGGTCTGAGATCCTATATTATGTAGTCAATGTTTATATGGAAGAACCTATATTATATGGTCAATGTTTTTATGGAAGAACCTATATTATGTAGTCAATGTTTAAATGGAAGAACCTATATTATGTAGTCAATGTTTATATGGAAGAACCTATATTATATGGTCAATGTTTTTA